CCCCCAGCCACATCCAGGTGCGGGCGGGCGAGCACAGCCTGGCGGTGCCCTCAGGGCAGGAGCAATACGCCACAGCCGTGGAGGTCGTGGTCCACCCCGGCTTCCAACCCGTGGTCGGGGACAACGCCTACGCCCATGACCTCATGCTGCTGCGCGTCGAACCCCCTTTCACCATCACCCCCCACGTCCGGCCCCTGCCGCTGCCACGGAGTCCCCCGGCCACCGGCACCAACTGCACCGTCATGGGATGGGGCACCACCACCAGCCCTCAGGGTATGGGGAGCACCCAAGCATTTGGGGTGGGTGGGGGTGGCTGAGCTGAGAAGGGACCCATGGTCAAAGGATGGACACCTCAAGCTGTCTTGGGTTGGAGACCTCAACCTGCCTTGGGTTGGAGACCTCAACCTGCCTTGGGTTGGAGACCTCAACCTGCCTTGGGTTGGAGACCTCAACCTGCGTTGGGTTGAAGACCTCAACCTGCGTTGGGTTGGAGACCTCAACCTGCCTTGGGTTGGAGACCTCAACCTGCCTTGGGTTGGAGACCTCAACCTGCCTTGGGTTGGAGACCTCAACCTGCGTTGGGTTGAAGACCTCAACCTGCGTTGGGTTGGAGACCTCAAGCTGCGTTGGGTTGGAGACCTCAAGCTGCGTTGGGTTGGAGACCTCAACCTGCATTGGGTTGGGTGGTGGCACCTCCATGGGTGAGAACTCAGTTGGCCAAGGAATGGAGACCTCAACTTGCGTTGGGTTGGGTGGTGGCACCTCCATGGATGAGATGGGGCACCACCACCAGCCCCCAGGGTATGGGGGGCACCCAAGTGTTCGGGGGGGGAGACAGGACAGCTGCACCGAGAAGGGACCCATGGTCAAAGGGTGGAGACCTCAACCAGCATTGGGTTGGAGACGTCAACCTGTGTTGGGTTGGAGACCTCAGCCTGGTTTGGGTTGGGTGGTGGCATCTCCATGGATGAGAATTCCATTGGCCAAGGGGTGGAGACCTCAACCTGCATTGGGCTGGAGACCTCAACCTGTGTTGGGTTGGGTGGTGGCACCTCCATGGGTGAGAACTCAGTTGGCCAAGGGGTGGAGACCCTCAACATGCATCGGGTTGAGTTGGGTTGGATTGGGTGGGGTCAACCACGCACAGCAGGGTCCCAGGCGCCTGGGTCGGTCACGTGTCCTCCCCCACCCCAGAGTCCTTCCCGGACACCCCCCAGTGTGTGAACGTCACCGTGGTGGGGGACAACGAGTGCCAGGCGGCCTACGGCAGCAAGGTCACCGCGGACATGTTGTGCGCCGGCGTGGCCGCAGGGGGCAAGGACTCCTGCCAGGTACCTCCAGGTCCCTGTGTCCCCTCACCATGGCCCCGTGTCCCCATGTCCCCATGTCCCCACGTCCCCATGGCCACCTCCTTGTGTCCTGTGGTCACTTCTCCACATCCTGCAGCCTCATTCCCACATGCCACCATCACCGGTTCCCCTCATCTCCTGGGCTTTGGGATGTCCCCGTGTCCCCCTTGTCCCCCTGTCCCACCCCCTCGTCCCTATGTCCCCATGGCCACCTCCTCGTGTCCCGTGGTCACTTGTCCACGTCCTACAGCCTCATTCCCACGTGCCACCATCACCAGTTCCCCTCATCTCCTGGGCTTTGGGATGTCCCTGTGTGCCACCACCTTGTCCCCATGTCCCATCACCTCATACCCGTGTCTCACCACCACGTCCCCGTGTCCCTATGGCCCCAGGGCCACCTCCTTGTGTCCTGTGGTCACTTCTCCACATCCTACAGCTTCATTCCCACGTGCCACCATCACCAGTTCCCCTCATCTCCTGGGCTTTGGGATGTCCCCGTGTCCCCATGGCCCATCACCATGGCCCCATGGCCCCACCACCATGGCCCCATGTCCCCACGCCCCCATGTCCCCATGGCCACCTCCTCATGTCCCATGGTCACTTCTCCACATCCTACAGCCTCATTCCCACGTGCCACCATCACTAGTTCCCCTCATCTCCCAGGCTTCAGGATGTCTCCATGTCCCCGTGTCCCATCACCTTGTCCCCATGTCCCACAGCCACGTGCCCGTGTCCCACCACCTCATCCCCATGTCCCATCACCTCGTCCCCATATCCCCATGGCCACCTCCTCGTGTCCTGTGATCACTTCTCCTTGTCCTACAGCCTCATTCCCACGTGCCACCATCACCAGTTCCCCTCATCTCCCAGGATTCAGGATGTCCCCATGTCCCCCCACCTCATCCCCGTGTGCCACCACCTCGTCCCCGTGTCCCCACAGCCACCTCCTCGTGTCCCATGGTCACTTCCCCATGTCCTACAGCCTCATTCCCACGTGCCACCATCACCAGTTCCCTTCATCTCTTGGGCTTCGGGATGTCCCCATCTCCCATCACCATGTCCTTGTGTCCCACCACGTTGTCCCCATGTCCCATCACCTCGTCCCCATGTCCCTGTGTCCCACCACCTCATCCCTGTGTCCCCGTGGCCACCTCCTCATGTCCCGTGGTCACTTCTCCATGTCCTACAGCCTCATTCCCACGTGCCACCATCACTGGTTCCCGTCATCTCTTGGGCTTTGGGATGTCCCCAGTCCTACAGACCCATGTCTTGTGTCCCACCACCATGTCCTTGTGTCCCACCACCTCGTCCCCATGTCCCACCACCTCATTCTTATGTCCCCATGGCCACCTCCTCGTGTCCCGTGGTCACTTCTCCACATCCTACAGCCTCATTCCCATGTGCCACCAGCACCGGTTCCCCTCATCTCCTGGGCTTCGGGATGTCCCCATGTCCCCGTGTCCCACCACCTTATCCCTCTGGTCCCCCTTTGTCCCTTGGGCTTCAAAACATGGACACATCTCCATGGCCCATCCCTACATACTCACCTCCCATGGCCTTCAGTGCCCCGTCCCCGTCCCCTCGTCCCCTTGCCACCACCCATAACCACGCCCCTTTGGTCACCTCGTCCCTCAGTGTTCCAAGAGGTGACCACGTCCCATGGCCACATCCCACCACGTGGGCCACCATCCCTGGGCCTGGTCCCACAGCTCTGGGTCCCAAGAGCAGCCACCCCCACTGGTGGCCACGTGTCCCCCCACCACCCCCAACTCCACCCTGGTGTCCTCCCTGGCCAGGGACTGTGACCAAGGTCCTGTCATGGTCTCTTTTGTCCCCAGGGTGACTCAGGAGGACCCCTCATCTGCAACGGGGTCCTGCAAGGCATCGTCTCCTGGGGTGACCACCCCTGCGGGCAGGCGGGGAAGCCCGGGGTCTACAGCCAGGTCTACAACTACCTGCCATGGATCCAGGAGACGATGGGGGGGACCTGAGACCACCTCCTCGTCTCACCATGGACCTGCCGATCCCACCGCAGAGCCACCACCCCCACCACGGAACCCGACAGGGACCACCTGACCCCCACCATGAAGCCACCTGGAAAGGTTCAACCCCCACCACCATCATGGATGGATTGACCCCACACACACACACACCATGGACTCCATCCTGGTGGAGTTGACCCCATCAAGGACCAGCAAACCCCACCATGGACTCCAGCATGGCTGGGCTGACCCCATCATGGATGGGTTGGCCCTCCCATGGACTCCACCATGGATGGACCGACCTCACCACAGACACTCCAAGCCCCCCATGGCTGGGCTGACCCCACCACACATTCCACCAGTGATGGACCAAGCCCACCATGGATGAACCAAGCCTACCACAGAACCCACCACGGATGGACCAAGCCCACCATGGATGAACCAACCCCACCACAGATCCCACCATGGGTAGATGGGCCCCACCACAGATGGACCAAGATCCACCATGGATGGACCAACCCTATCACGGATGGAGCAAGCCCCACGAAGGATGCACCAAGCCCCACCACAGACGGACCAAGCCCACCATGGATGGACCAAGCCCCACCAGAGATGGACCAACCCCATTACAGATCCCACCATGGATGGACCAAGCCCCACCATGGATGGACCATCCCCACCACAGATCCCACCATAGATGGAGCAAGCCCCACCATGGATGGACCAAGCCCACCACAGATCCCACCAGCGATGGACCAACCACCAGGGATGGACCAAGCCCACCATGGATGGACTAAGCCCACCACAGATCCCACCAGGGACAGACCAAGCCCCACCACAGATCCCACCATGGATGGACCAACGCCACCCCAGACCTCCAACCCCACCTCCCACCCCCAATAAACCCCTCCCCCGCATCTCCACGGCATCTCTTGACCCCTTGAGGGGCACCTGGGGGGGAAATGGGGGCAAACGGAGCAGAATTGGGCCAAAACCAGGCCAAAGTGGGCTGAACTGGGCCGAAGTGGTCCCTACTGGTCCAAACCAGTCCAAACCAGGCAGAATTGAGCCAAAACGAGGCCAAAGTGGGCAAAATTGGGCAGAATTGGGCCAAAGTGGTCCCAAGTGGGCAAAACTGGGCCGAACCAGGCAGAACTGAGCCAAAATCAGGCCAAAGTGGTCCCTACTGGTCCAAACTGGTCTGAATTGGGGAGAATTGGGACAAAACCAGGTAGAAATTGGTGATATTGGGCCAAAGTGGGCAGAACTGGGCCAAAACCAGGCAGAATTGGGCAAAATTGGGCAGAATTGGGCCAAAACCAGGCCAAAGTGGGCAAAACTGGGCCGAAGTGGTCCCTACTGGTCCAAACTGGTCCAAACCAGGCAGGGTTGGGCCAAAACCAGGCAGAATTGGGCTGAACTGGGCCAAAGTGGTCCCAAATGGTCCAAAGCAGGCAGAATTGGGCCAAAACCAGGCAGAAATGGGCAAAATTGGGCAGAATTGAGCCAAAACCGGGCAGAATTGGGCTGAACTGGGCCAAAGTGGTCTCTACTGGTCCAAACTGGTCCAAACCAGGCAGAATTGGGCCAAAACCAGGCAGAAATGGGCAAAACTGGGCAGAATTGGGCCAAAACCAGGCCAAAGTGGGCCGAACTGGGCCAAAGTGGTCTCTACTGGTCCAAACTGGTCCAAACCAGGCAGAATTGGGCCAAAACCAGGCAGAAATGGGCAAATTGGGCCAAAGTGGTCCCAAATGGTCCAAAGCAGGCAGAATTGGGCCAAAACCAGGCAGAAATG